GTTCTTTTTTACTTTTGTTTAAGCCATGTTGTTTGGCATAATAATAGTTCACAACAATTAAGGTGTTGTATTGGTTTCACCTGCAGGATGACCATGACGAGCTGCGGCGATCACCGGGGACTCCTGTTTTTACTGCACCCGAATGTTGTTTAGGTTAGATTTTCTTGCTATAAGATAGGTCAAATTTACCTTGCATGATATAAAAAATGTGCTAGTAGTTCTTCCAGTGGCCTGCCCAAGGTCACATCCTCCTCCTTGAAAAGTTTCTGGATTCAATCTATCTGGCATGAGTGTGCGGGCAATTAAAAAAAAAGAAGCATAGTATACGTATATGTGTGTGTGTGTGTGTGTGTGTGTGTATATCCATCTGCGGTTAATAAAAAACTAGCATATATAAAATGCCCATCTGCTTTGAGTGCGAGTTCTCAGTGGGCCAGATTTGATGTGTTTCTCCGAGTTAGAATTGTTGGGCGGTGAAACATCAACACGTACACAAAATGGGTGTAGCGGAGATGAGGATGCTTCGTTGGATGTGTGGGCACACGAGAAAGGATAAGATTAGGAATGAGGATATCCGGGGTAAAGTAGGAGTAGCCGAAATTGAAGGAAAGATGAGAGAAAATCGGTTACGGTGGTTTGGACATGTGCAAAGAAGGCCTACTGACGCTCCGATTAGAAGATGCGACTATGGGACAGAGGTTCAGGGCCGAAGGGGTAGAGGAAGACCTAGGAAAACTTTGGAAGAGACTCTAAGAAAAGACTTAGAGTACTTGGATCTAACGAAGGACATGACACAGGGATCGAGCACAATGGCGTTCTAAGATTCATATAGCCGATCCCACTCAGTGACTTGGATTTTCCAAGTCTCCAACCGAGAAGTTTTCCTCACTCGGGAAATTAAGGGAACACTACCCCAACCTACATGCTCCACTCAGAAAGCTTCAACATACAAGCTTCAACAAAAGAAAATTCAAAGAACTTAGCGAAGAAGGCTTTGGTGTATTTAACACAATACGTTGAAATGAAGGAAAGCTTATTTATTGATATCCCCGATAAGCTACAAATATGTACATATACATGAGTCAAAATAAACACACAAGAGGGAGCCTTCACAAAGGTTGCTTAGGAGAAGTCTCAGCAGTCGGTAGAGCCCCAGAAAGAGAAGACACCGGAGGGGGATCATTTGGAGCCTCAGTACTGGACAGAACCCTAGAAGGAGGAGGCATCAGAGGTTGATCATTTGGAGCTTCATTACGCGGTACAGCCCCAGAAGACGAAGGCAATAAATGCCTTTGGAACAAACCCACAAATCTCTGATGATCAAGTAAAACCTGACCATCAGTTTCCTTCATCTGGTCAAGCTTCCTCTTCATGTTTGTAGCATAGTCATGTGCGAGCCGGTGCAACTGTTTTATTCTCATGCTTGAGCCCTCTAATCTCCTGTTTGAGACTCATCACTTCAGCCGCCAATGATTCAACTTGGCGGGTTCGAGCAAATAGGCGTTGGGCCATATTAGACACAGAACCTGCACACTGAACACTGAGAGCCAGCGAATCCTTAACAGCTAACTCATCAGACCGTTTGGAAAGTAGTCTGTTATCTTTGGGAGTGAGAAGGTTCCTGGCCACCACCGCAGCGGTCATATCATTCTTCATCACGGAATCCCCAACGGTAAGAGGACCAGTAGGGGACGACGAAGGATGGGCGCCATATGTTGTCTGGAGAAGGCGGGGCTGCCTCTTCAACAAGGTTCAAGTCAAAACGACGGTCGGAGGGGCCAGACATTTTCAAAGGTGTTGAAGAGAGAAGAGGTTGGACAAATCAAGATCTTAGAAGTGCAAGAATGAAGCTTCTACTGGTGGAGATTCAAGTGTGCTTTAGAACTTAATGCCAGCCCCTATAAAAATCTGCACTCGACGGAGCTTCAGAAATCGAAGAGGCGCCTGCTCAGAAAATCGAAAGAGGCGTTTGCTTTCTCAAAAGCTGAGCTGCTTAGAGATCACGAGGGTTGATCTCAGAAATCGAAGAGGCTTTTGCTTTCTCAAAAGTTGGGCTGCTCAAAGACCACGAAGGCCGATCTCAGAAATCGAAGAGGCGCTCGCTTTCTCAAAAGCTGGGCTCCCCAGAGACCACGAGGGCCGATCTCAGAAATCGAAGAGGCACCTATTTTTCCAGCCTTGTCAGCACCTGTCACACGCACACTCAGCTTTGCGGAAATTATGGGCATTCTGTCGAAGACTTCTGGGGAAGTAGAAAACACATGAATCTTACTGTTCAATCACCCACTTCCCACACGCAACAATAGCTCATGGGTACCACAGATAACTTTGCCAAAGTTCTCTGCCAAAGTTGAGCACGTGAAGCTTGCAGCTCCCACTACATCGCTCTGACCAAGAAGGGTAAAAGAATAGCAAAGAAACAGCACTAACAAAGTTTAGACCCATAAATTTTGAAGGTCTAGCTACCATATTATTACCCACAAGGGTAAAGGAACAGTACCACTGCTGGATAATTGGAAAGTTCCTGTGTGTCAACCTCTGTGCTTCGTGGCAAGGTAGACTAGCAAACATGCCCAATCTTTACTCACATTCGAGAAAAACACTCCCAATAAGATTGCTTGCTCCAAAATCGAAGAGGCACCCGTCCTCCGAATCTCGAGAGCCAGACTCCCAACATGACTACTTTATTAAAAATCGAAGAGAGGGTAAAGGAACAGTACCATTGCTGGATAATTGGAAAGTCCCTGTGTGTCAACCTCTGTGCTTCGTGGCAAGGTAGACTAGCAAACATGCCCAACCTTTACTCACATTCGAGAAAACACTCCCAACAAGATTGCTTGCTCCAAAATCGAAGAGGCACCGCCTTCCGAATCTCGAGAGCCAGACTCCCAACATGATTACTTTCTCAAAAATCGAAGAGACATTGCTCCCCGAATCTTCGAGAGCCAAACCCCCAGCATGATTGTTTTCTCAAAAATCGATGAGGCATCGTTCTCCGAATCAATCGAAGAGGCGCTCGCTTCCTCAAAAGCTGGGCTCTTCAGAGACCACGAGGGCCGATCTCAGAAATCGAAGAGGCACCTACTTTTCCAGCCTTGTCAGCACCTGTCACACGCACACTCAGCTTTGCAGAAATTATGGGTATTCTGTTGAAGATTTCTGGTGAAGTAGAAAGCACATGAATCTTACTGTCCAATCACCCACTTCCCACACGCAGCAATAGCTCATGGGTACCACAGATAACTTTGTCAAAGTTCTCTGCCAAAGTTGAGCACGTGAAGGTTGCAGCTCCCACTACATCGCTCTGACCAAGAAAGGTAAAAGAATAGCAAAGAAACAGCACTAACAAAGTTTAGACACATAAATTTTGAAGGTCTAGCTACCATATTATTACCCACAAGGGTAAAGGAACAGTACCACTGCTGGATAATTGGAAAGTCCCTGTGTGTCAACCTCTGTGCTTCGTGGCAAGGTAGACTAGCAAACATGCCCAACCTTTACTCACATTCGAGAAAACACTCCCAACAAGATTGCTTGCTCCAAAATCGAAGAGGCACCGTCCTCCGAATCTCGAGAGCCAGACTCCCAACATGACTACTTTCTCAAAATCGAAGAGAGGGTAAAGGAACAGTACCATTGCTGGATAATTGGAAAGTCCCTGTGTGTCAACCTTTGTGCTTCGTGGCAAGGTAGACTAGCAAACATGCCCAACCTTTACTCAAATTCGAGACAACACTCCCAACAAGATTGCTTGCTCCAAAATCGAAGAGGCACCGCCCTCCGAATCTCGAGAGCCAGACTCCCAACATGATCACTTACTCAAAAATCGAAGAGACACTGCTCTCCGAATCTCGAGAGCCAGACCCCCAGCATGATTGCTTTCTCAAAAATCGAAGAGGCATCGTACTCCGAATCTCGAGAGCCAGATACCACAGACCACTTTTTCAAAGTGCTCTGACAGAGTTAAAACATGTGAAACTGACAGCTCCCACTACCGTGCTATGACCAAGCAGGGTAAAGGAATAGCATTACTACTTGTTGTTAGGGAGACGCCTATATATGTCAACCTCCATCCCCAACGGACAGGCAGACCTGCAAAAATGCTCAACCCTTTATCATATATGAGAGGGCACTCCCAACGAAGCCTTTCGAAATATTCAGCTTTCTTTCTCCCCGATAATACCTCTGCAAACAAGCTATACTAGAGTAAGAATATCTCATATCATCAGGGTTAAAAGCAAGAGTATCCCATATCATGCTTTTTCCCTGTCTTTTCCTTTAGCCTTGTTTTTACCTGCAAGACAAGGAGAAAGAGAGCAATCAGTCAGCACTTGGAATCAAGCTTCCAGCCAGGAACTGACTGCCTGGAACCCCTTACCTGATTACTTACCTGGCATTGCTCTCGAGTACTCATCTTCAACATCTTATGTTTCCAAGGAAGATTCCGCATCTGCTTGAGGAACAGATAGGGCAAGTGCGAAGGATACAAGGAAGCATGTGGAGACAAGCGTAACAGCACACGTGCCGATACATCCATTACTCTGTCAAAAGCAAAAGTATCCCATATCAGCAGGGTGGAACGTACTCTAGATTTGATGGACTTGTTTTGACCCTCAAATTCTTCAGTCGGCCTTATACTCTGGAGGAAACCAGAAAACCCTCCAGCTCAGTTCAAGAATAAGCCTGTGGAAAGTTACTTCTTCAAAAGCAAAAGTATCTCATATCATCTCTTCTCATTTTTCTTCTCTTTATCCTTCATGCTGTTGCAAGATGGGGAGAAGGTGAACAATCAGTCGGAGCTCTGATTGCTTACCTTGTCTGTCACCTCTTTCAGCAGACCCCCTAGCTCGGCGACTTGGGGGACTCCTACTACATGGTTTGTATCGCGCTTGACCAAGCCTGAAACTACAAGTAAGCTTCAAGTGAAATTGATACATTACCTTGTGCATCTCCACCAGTTAAAGATACCACCCCTGGATGGAGGAAAAGTACTTCCAGAGAAGATGCCACATCTACCTATGAGACAGATAAGGCAAGTCAAGACGACACCCACACTCCGATACTTAGAAGTTTCGTGATTACGAGATCATTCTCCCACAATATTTCCTAATGTCATTTGTACTAAATCATTCACTTGTACTCACTAAAGGAGAGCTTGAACCTATGTACTTGTGTAAACCCTTCACAATTAATGAGAACTCTTCTATTCCGTGGACGTAGCCAATCTGGGTGAACCACGTACATCTTGTGTTTGCTTTCCTATCTCTATCCATTTATATACTTATCCACACTAATGACCGGAGCAATCTAGCGAAGATCACAAAAAGCGACCGTTTTCGCTACCTAGGATCTATCTTGCAAGAGAACGGAGAATTAGATGGAAATCTCAACCATAGAATACGAGCTGGATGGATGAAGTGTAAGAGCGCATCCGGCGTGTTGTGTGACCGTCGTAGGCCACTGAAGCTCAAGGGAAAATTTTATAGGATGGCAATAAGGCCAGCGATGTTGTATGGCACAGAATGTTGGGCGGTGAAGCATCAACACGTACACAAAATGGGTTGTAGCGGAGATGAGGATGCTTCGTGGGATGTGTGGGCACACGAGAAATGATAAGATTGGGAATGAGGATATCCGAGGTAAAGTAGGAGTAGCCGAAATTGTAGGAAAGATGAGAGAAAATCGGCTCCGGTGATTTGGACATGTGCAAAGAAGGCCGACTGACACTCCGGTTCGAAGATGTGACTACGGGACAGAGGTTCAGGGCCGAAGGGGTAGAGGAAGACCTAGGAAAACTTTGGAAGAGACTCTAAGAAAAGACTTAGAGTACTTGGATCTAACGGATGACATGACACAAAACCGAGCGCAATGGCGTTCTAGGATTCATATAACCGACCCCACTTAGTGGGAAAAGGCTTTGTTGTTGTTGTTGTTGTTGTTGTTGTTGGTCTTAGAAGGCTAAATAATCATAAAATGTTGCTTATGCATAATTGCATATGCTATAATTGATTTTCCAACTATACTTAAGTCAGTTGGCTATGAATTTTTCCAGCATCTCGAGTCTAATAACTCAGGAAGATAGAAAATTTTATGGTTTTGTAACTGCTAAAGTTCATAGAAGGATGATACAAAATCTTATGGTTTAGTAACTCAGGGAGATGATTACCTTACAGTTATTTTATTGTGATCAACAGGGCTAACCTATCGCGGTAGAGCTGCTGACACATGGGCCGTGGGGGTTACTTTGTACTGTATGGTATTGGGACAATACCCATTCCTTGGAGACACACTTCAGGATACATACGACAAGGTATGAAAAACACCAGTATTCCTGTGCAAAACCACTAATTAGGTCATAAACTTTAAGCCCGGTGTTTACGGTATTTCCATATTACTTATCTGTAGGAATTTTCTCCTTGCAGATTGTTAATAACCCTTTAGTACTTCCAGATGATATGAACCCACTTTTAAAGGATTTACTTGAAGGTCTTCTTTGCAAAGGTTGGTGACATGCAATATTTTGATTTATGGCTGGTGCTTCAGCTTTTCTGCAACTCTGTCATCTTTATTCTTCCCCATCTTTTTTGTTACCCTCCCCCGCCCCTGCCCCTGCCCCTGCCCCGCCATTGTATGTCTCATGATTATGGCTTGATATTCTATTATGCAGACCCAAACATGAGGTTGACACTGGAGGCTGTCGCAGAGCATACTTGGGTTATTGGAGATGATGGGCCGATACCTCAGTTTTCATGTTGGTGCAGGGGTAAGAGTTTGCGAGAGGAATCTAATGGGACGAAAGATGTCTCTAGCATAACCCTTACTGACTAGAGTGTTTAGGTTGGATTTGTTTTTGGCTTTCCAATTTTAGTTTTCGAGTTGCAAACATCGTTCTGGTTACTCTGGCTTTCGGAATTGTCATGATTTTGGCAAGAACATTGTTCTCTGTTGTGTTTCTTCTCTGGGTTTGTCTGGTGTCATGTGTTATTTGTTGGGCTCGGTTGGAATCACACAGGTCAACCGTTATTGAATCCATTTGTAGGAAATACTTTTGTTCAAAAGCGCTTTTGTTGATAGCAGTTTTCATAGAAATGATGTATCAGTTTCCTTTATTGCGAACCTCTTAAAAGGTCTGGCTTGTCGAATGCGTCCATAGTAGTTGGAAAAGCTCATAATTCAAAGTATTCGAAGTTGAGAGAATCATGTGTTTGAAACTGCTTCTCGAAGAGCTGAAAGTGCTTTTTGACAATCAAAGCTCAACTTTGGGGCATACAGCAAATCAAAGCACATGGTTTTGTCAAAAATCCAAGCCACATTGGTTAAGAACCGATCAAGTCCATCAGCTGAGTTCTGCCAGTGCGGTTTGATATCGGTAGCGATGACTTGAATTTAGGTCCAAACTCGACGTACTAGCATGCCTTGAACACCTTTTTATTTTTAATTTTTTTATTTTGAAGAAGATTACAATATTATCCTACCAAAATGGTGGTATACAATCTGAGTAGTTACCAAGATCGTGAGATATGCATGGATTGGATGGGACTTCAAAGTTGAAATCTCAACGGATGCTAGCATGGCTCATGGGATGAGATTTAGATCGTGTGGTAAAAAATTATTTTGAATTTTTATTTAAAAGAAACTATTATGAATTTCTTATTTAAATTAAGGGTAAATCTCAATTTATTACCCTCATGTTTCGTGATTTTCAACATTTAGTACATCAAGTTTTTTTCATTCTAGAGTCATACATAAAGTGTTAATTTTGGGATAGTCTTATACATTCGTTAATCAAACTGTTAAGTCTGCTGTTAACTGATGATGTGGCGCCTATGTGGACAATGACTGGACGCCACGTGTCATTAAGGTCCACGTGAATTTTTTTTTGAGAAGGGGTTCAAAAAAAGAAAACCCCCGTCTTCTATTCCCGCACTCTCTCTCTCTCTCTCTCTCCCCCTCCACCTCTCTCTCCTCTTTGCTCTTGCTTCACTGGGCCTCCAATCCCACTCGACGATTTGAACTCCCAAGATTTCAATTGCATTCATCTGGGTCGCTGAGCTTCGATTCCAATCCAGCAAATATTCAATCTTTTCCCAATTTCGAATACGGAGGAGAGAAAGCATCTTTCCCTCTTTCTCTGCAATTTGTGGGGTTTTCGATACCTTTATATGGCTTCCATGGCAGCATCGTCCTACTGGTGCTACACGTGTAGCCGATTGAATCAAGTTCGGGTTTGGACCCAAGATTCGATCTTCTGCCCCGATTGCGGAGCTAGGTTTATTGAAGAGATCCCAACCCCAACTAGATCTTCTCTGCTACACCACCCATTTCCCCTCATCGCGATGTTCCTCGACAACGCCTCGGTTTCTCAGAGCCTGAGCCCGCCTAGACTTAGCCGGAATTAGAGCTCAAGCCCAACTTGGACAAACCCTGCAAGAAGATCTTTCTATCTGCCAATTGATCCTTCACTTCGACATCCGAAACGAACCCACTTGGAGCAAACGAAGCCCTCCATTTGTGCCACTGAACAAACATCTTTTCTGCTTTGTCCGGGTCCATTGATCTCACAATCAAGAACCTCATGAGAGTTGGGTCTCCAAACTTCTACCAACAAAGCAACCATGGATTCATATGAAGTACAAAAGTGAATGAATAATATTATACACTGTATGAGAAAGCATTGCAATGTGCTCTTACCTCAGTGGAAGATCCAAGCTTTTGCACTGATTTCTTCATCTCAGCCAGAGCAAAATCTTGGGTTTTCTCCATATTTTGGTTTCTGGGTCTGAGAGTTGCTTTGTTTCTGGGATTTTACAAGGAAGAAGAAGTGAGAAGGGAGGGAGGAAGGAGGAGAGAAGGGAGGGTGGTGCAGTTTGTAGAAGAGAGAAGGGAGGGAAGGGGTGCAGGTTGCAGAAGAGAGAAGAGAGGGAGAGATTAGCCAGTGATAAGCCATGGATGTTGCTTGTAGATTTTCTAAACAATGCGGGGCTAATTTCGTTACAAGCTTCGAGTGTTCCTTTCACTTGGACTAATAAACACAAGGATGACTCACTTATTTTTTAAGAGATTAGACAAGGTCGTTGCCAATTCTTATTGGTTTGAAACTTTGAATTGCACCCAGGCTACGTGCTACACAACTATCCTATTTTGGGGTCTAACCACAATCATATGTGTCTTGACACCATTGGCTCTCCAGTTAATCGTAAGAGGAAGTGTTTCAAATTTGAGGAACCTTAACCCTGAGTTTAAACAATTTGTTAAGGGGGCTTGGAAATGTAGTGAAGGGATTTCCCCTCTTGATCATTTCAGGGGTTGTTTAGGTACTTTTTCTTTTCTTGTTAAACATTGCAATCACACGGTGTTTGGTTCAATCAGGGTGAAAAAAGATAAAATTTTAATGGAGCTAGACGGTATCCAGAAGGAACTTATGTCTTCTAACTATAATGCTAACTTTTCAAACAATTTTAGTGAGAAAGTTCACCTAAAGGCTCAAATTAATGAAAGGCTAACTCAAGTCCCTAAGGAGGAGGAAGTGATGTGGGCACAAAAAGCAAAGTCTAATTGGTTAAAGCATGGTGATAAAAATACAAGATTTTTCCAACTATGCGCAACTATTAGGAGAAACTGAAATGAAATTAATAAAATCAGATATGGCAATGGTATTTGGTAGTATAAGGGAAAGGGTTTGGAACAAGTTTTTGTGTAGTTATTCAAAATGAGATTCACCAATTGATCTAATCCCCCAACTGTTGAGCACTCGAGCTTGATCTCTCATGTAATAAAACCATGCATTTCAAATGATCAGAATATCAAGTTAACTGAGGTCTATTCAAATGATGAGATTTGGAATGTTGTTAAAAGCATTGGAGCTCTTAAAAGCCCCAGGGCTGGATGGTATCCATGCAAGTTTCTTTCAGGAATGCTGGGAGGAGCTGGGGCTATCAGTGTGCAATATGGTGAAAGATTTTTATTTATTTATTTATTTTTTGGTAAATAACACAAGCCTAAAGTTAATCAACCATACAAATATTGCCCTAATCCCAAAAGTGGAGAAATATTGCCCTAATCCCAAAAGTGGAGAATCCGAAAACAGTCAATAATTATCGCCCAATTAGCCTATGTAATGTTAGTTACAAGATTATAACAAAAGTTATGATCACCAGGTTAAAGCCCCTTTTGCAGGAGTGTATTTCACCCAACCAAGGTGCATTTGCTCCAGGTAGGTCAATACAAGATAATGTTCTTATTGCTCATGAATTGTTCTCTAGTTTTAAAAGGAAGAAAGGCAGAACCAGGGAGCTAGTTATCAAGCTAGACTTGGAGAAAGCATATCATCTCTTAAACTGGGACTATATTAAATGTGTGTTGGAAGGGTTTGGTTTTTGTATTAAGTGGATAAATCTAGTTATGGAATGTATATCTTCAACTTCATTTTCCATTAACATTAATGATGAGTCTCATGGCTATTTCTGTGCAAGTAGAGGTATCAGGCAAAGGGACCCATTACCCCCTATATTTTCATTCTTTGCATGGAACCCTTGATTAGGAAGTTGAATGAGTTAGCGTATACCCAAAAATCCCATATTGGCCTGTTCACTTCCCTTTTTGGCTACAAAGTTTCCAATCTTGTTTTTACAGATGACTGCCTCATCTTTTCCAAGGCATCTACAAAGGGTGCCAGGAAGGTTTTAGAAGTTCTTAATTGTTTTGCAAAGGGTTCGGGTCAACAAATAAACTTCAACAAATCTTCTTTATACTTTTCCTCTAATACAACTTGTTGATGCACACAATCAGTAAGGACTTTGATACAACATAAAATGTTAAGTTTGTGACTTTCACTAGATTGCTCCGGTCACTAGTGTGAATAAGTATGTAAATGGATAGGAACAGGGAAGCAAACATAAGATGTACGTGGTTCACCTAGATTGGCTACGTCCACGGAGTAGAGGAGTTCTCATTAATTGTGAAGGGTTTACACAAGTACATAGGTTTAAGCTCTCATTTAGTGAGTACTAGTGAATGATTTAGTACAAATGACATTAGGCAATATTGTGAGAATGATCTCTATTTATAGAAGAGAGTTTCTAGTTTCATTCTGACATTGACACGTGTCGTGTTGTGATTGGCTTCTGATGTCGACACGTGTCGCGCTGTGATTGACCTTCTGGTTGGAGGGAAACTCTTTTGGGTCCTTGACGGTATAACGTTGACCGGTGCTCAATAGTTTCAGGATTGGTCAAGTATGGTACAAACAGTGCTCCCCTAAGTTCCCGAGTGAGGGAAGCTCCTCGGTTGGGGACTTGCAAGATCCAAGCCATTGAGTAATCACGAAACTTCTAAGTACCAAAGTGTGGTATCATTTTCACTTGCCTTATCTATCTCATATGTAGATGTGGCATCTTCTCTGGAAGTAATTTTCCTCGATCTAGGGGTGGTATCTTTAATCGATGAAGATGCACAAGGTAATGTATCAATTTCACTTGAAGCTTACTTGTAGTTTCGGTCTTGGTCAAGTGCGATACAAACCCTATAGTAGGAATCCCCCAAGTCGCCGAGCTAGGAGATTTACCGCAGGAGGTAACAGACAAGGTAAGCAATCAGACTTTCAAGCAAGCAACCTAGATCAGAGGTTCGACTTCGGATTTCGGTTAATTGTTCTCATTCTCCTTGTGTCGTAAACAGCAACAAGGATAAGGAGAAGCAAATGGAGAAGAGATGATATGAGATACTTTTGCTTTTGAAGAAGTAATTTTCCACATGCTTATTCTTGAACTGGGCTGGAGGGTTTTCTGGTTTCCTCCAAAGTATAAGGCCGACTCAAGAATTTGAAGGTCAAAACAAGTCCATCAAATCTAGAGTACGTTCGACCCTGATGATATGGGATACTTTTGTTGTTGACGAAGTAGTGGATGTATTAGCACGTGTTCTGTTACGCTTGTCTTCACATGCTTCCTTGTATCATTCTCACTTGCCTTATCTGTTCTTCAGGCAGATGTGGTATCTTCTCTGGAAGCATAAGATGTTGAAGATGAGTACTTGAGAGCAATGCCAGGTAAGTAATCAGGCAAGGGGTTCCAGGCAGTCAGTTCCTGACTGAAAGCTTAATTCCAAGTATTGACTGATTGCTCTCTTTCTCCTTGTCTTGCAGGTAAGAACAAGGTCAAAGGAAAAGACAGGGAAAAAGCATGATATGGGATACTCTTGCTTTTAACCCTGATGATATGAGATACTCTTGCTCTGGTGTAGCTTGTTTGCAAAGGTATTATCGGGAGGAAAAGAAGCTGAGTATTTTAAGAGACTCTGCTGAGAGTGCCTTTTCGGATGTGATGAAAAGTTGAGTATTTTTTTATTTGCAGGTCTGCCTGGCTGTGGAGGATGGAGGTCAACATATATAGAAGTCTCCCTAACAACAAGTAGTAGTGCTATTCCTTTACCCTTCTTGGTCATAGTAATGTAGTGGGAGCTGCAAGCTCCACGTGTTTTAACTTTGTCAGAGCACTTTGAAAAAGTGGTTTGTGGTATCTGGAAAGCTGATGTTGCATATGAAGATTGCAGACAAGCTTTATCCAAGGAAATCTGGCTCTCGAAATTCGGAGAGCGGTGCCTCTTCGGTTTCGAACAAGTAATCCTGTCGGGGATCTGGCTCTCGAGATTCAGAGAATGGTGCCTCTTCAATTTTTGAGAAAGCAATCCTGTTGGGAGTCTGACTCTTGAGATTCGGAGAGTAGTGTCTCTTCGATTTTTTAGAAAGTAATCCTGTTGGGAGTCTGATTCTCGAAATTCGAAGGGCGGTGCCTCTTCGATTTTTAAGCATGTAATCCTGTTGGTAGTCTGGCTCTCGAGATTCAGAGAGAGGAACCTCTTCAATTTTTGAGAAAGTAATCATGTTGGGAGTCGGACTCTTGAGATTCGAAGAGTAGTGTTTTTTTGATTTTTGAGAAAGTAATCCTATTGGGAGTCTGGCTCTCGTGATTTGGAGAGTGATGCCTCTTCGATTTTGAGCAAGCAATCTTGTTGGGAGTGTTTTCTCGAATGTGAGTAAAGGTTGGGCATTTTTGCCAGTCTGCCTTGCCATGGAGCATGGAGGTTGACACACATTGGGACTTTCTAGTTATCAAGCAGTGATGCTGTTCTTTTACCCTTGTGGGTAATAGTAGGGTAGCTGGACCTTCAAAATTTATGTGTCTAACCTTTGTTAGGGATCTTTGGCAAAGTTGTCTGGGGTACCCGATGAGCTGATGTTGTGTGTGGAAAGTGGTGCCTCTTCGGAATCCGGAGAGGTGCCTCTTCGATTTTTGAACCAACAGCCCTGTTGCCATTTCTTTTATAAGGGCACCAATTGTGTGCAAGAAGTACATTCGGAGAGTTATTGCTTGTAGGAATTTTCCCCTTACTTCAGAGATTTATTGCACCTCATTTCTCCTTTATCATTTCTGAGAATGTCTGGCCTATCAAATTGTCGTTTTGACTTGAACTTTGGTGAAAAGGCAGCCATGCCTTCTCAAGACAACATATGGCGCCCATCCATCTTATCCCCTACTAGTCATCTTACCATTGGGGACTCTGTGATGAAGAACGATATGACCGATGCAGTGGTGGCTATGAACCTTCTCACTCCCAAAGATTACAGACTACTTTCCAAATGGTCTGATGAGTTGGCTGTTAAGAATTCTTTGGCTCTCAGTGTTCAGTGTGCAGGTTCTATGTCTAATATGGCCCAACGCCTATTTGCTCGAACCCGCCAAGTTGAATCATTGGCGGCTGAAGTGATAAGTCTTAAACAGGAGATCAGAGGGCTCAAGCATGAGAATAAACAGTTGCACAGGCTCGCACATGACTATGCTACAAACATGAAGAGGAAGCTTGACGAGTTGCAGGAATCTGATGGTCAGATTTTACTTGATCATCAGAGGTTTGTGGGTTTGTTCCAAATGCATTTATTGCCTTCGTCTTCTAGGGTTGTACTGGGTAATGAAGCTCCAAATGATCAACCTTCGGTGCCTCCTCCTTCTGGGGTTCTGCCTAGTACTGAGGCTTCGAATAATCACCTTTTGGTGCCTCCTCTTTCTGGGGATCTGCCGACTGCTAAGACTTCTC